TTTTTTTTTTTGTTTTTGTTGTTTTAGACAGCCGAACATAATTTTTCACCATCAAATTTTTTATGCCGATTTAAACGTGAACACTTTCTTCGAGCTCGTAGCTGTCTGGAAAAAACGGAACCGTTAACATTCTTAAAATGTGATCATGGATGCCATGATGAATCGGTTAAAAAAGTTGAAAAACAGCAAAGATTTGCGCCTGGAAAAGTAAAGCAATTAAATTTTTTCTTGTTTCATAACTGTATAACTGCAAATTGATTGAACTGTCCAGTTAAAAGTTTATATTCAACGACAGTTAAAATTTAAGCAACTTTTTACAAGCATTAAATTTAGACAGCAAAAGAAAGAAAAAGACCAGTTTATTACTTATCATTACTTATCAACAATTACTTCACTGCCTTAGCATTCTTATCTAGTATTTAGTTCTTGGCTTTTTTTTTTTAGGTATTTCGAGAAAATGAAGTTAGCAGTTATGAACGTGAATTAGATCTGTTATGTACATTTCAGGCCTGTTATCGTCAATGTGAAAACAGTATGTATTTTTATTCACTTTTTATTTCCAACCAGTTGAACGCATTCAAAACAATTACTTACATATAACTTTCCTTATCTTTTATACTGTTTACAAAGGAAGAAAAAATTGACAGTAAGGTTGAAATGACCAACTGAAAGACTGTACAATGGCATTTGCAGTAGTGGTAAAAGAAAGCTGTGAACAACGGGAAGCTGAACTGGCGTTAACACTGATATCACAGTATGTTACCTGGCATGCTTCTGGTATCTATGATTGGCATATCCTATCGGATTCGGTGGAAAAATTTCCGACCAGTTGTCAACAACTTGTTCTACCGTTAGACAATGATCCAATTGTAAAAATTTTAAACAGTGTTTCTTAGCAACGATAGCTAATGCCTTATCTCTCTCTTTTCCTCCATTCCTTTGATTAGTGACAAATCTGTGTAAGTGTCGACCTGTTGTACAACCCCAGTTGGTTTTTGTCTAGGTTTTTTTTGGCAGTACTTAAGTATTAAAAAGCAGGTAATAACAGTTTAATCTGCTGTTGATACGGTGTTTTGTCTTGTTTTTACCATAGTTACTTAAATTCTAATCAAAAATTTTTTTGCAAAAAAAAGTTGAAACTTATTGTGGACAGTATCAGTGATGGGGAAAAAAATTTGCAGATATTTGTTGCAAATTCCTCACTTTTCTTCTTTTTTTTTTTGTTATTACTGTGTAAATAAAACTGAAACGATCTAAGCACTCCAAATTTTAGCTTTAAAAATAAATTTTTTAAAAAAGATAAAGTAGACGAAAAAAAAAAAGGAAGAAAGTGATATTATATTATTAAATTATTGCTACTGGTGAAAAACAATGAGATTGCTTTAATTGTGTGTTCATCAATGTTTTCTTTATTCTTAATATACTTACTTAATGTATATAATGTATATGCAAAATATACAGAAGTTTTACAGCTAATGTATAATAAAAACTGCAAAAAAAAAAAGCTATTGATAATATTGAAGAACAAAATATATTTATCAACAGCAACAAAAAAAGAGGGTTCAGAATTAAACGTAATGATAAGCATACGGCATTACTGTAATATAATTGTAATGGTTTTTTTTTTTCTGTTTGGTTTATAAATGCTGTTAACGACTTAATATTACAATTAATTTCCACTTCAACAGTATCATTTGATTAGAAAAATTTGGAACATGTTCTGGCATACTGAGAACAGCAAAGCGATGATACATGAACGGCTTTCAGCAGCAATTTACAAGCCTGAAAAATTTGATGTGTTAAGTACAGTTATTTTTAATGATCGGTTATCATCAGATTGACTTAAAAATAAGTTTTCTTTTGAAACAGCGTTTTTTCCACCTTTCTTTTTTTTTTCAATAAAAATGATTTATAACAGTCATTATAATATTAAACAGATTCTAATTGTTGGACTACTTAACTGTTTAAATGATGTAATGATTATGCGTTGCAACTACACGGTAAGCGATACTATCACCATAAAAAGTATTGCCAATTCTGCTTAATATTATAAACATAAAAATTAATCAAATTTTTTGATGCTTTTTTCTAGGCCAATAAAAATTTATTGAATATACTGCCTTTTGTATTTTGGTTTCTTCTATTATTTCAAAATAGACTTTTTTTTCGTTTTTGCTTCATTAACTAATGTTATAAATTTTTTTAGGAAAGAGAGGTGAAGTTTCATTGGAGAAATCTTGGCAAAAGTAAAAGACTAAAAATATTTCTTTAATTCAAATAATTTTAGCAGATTTTTGTTGAATTAAATTACGACATTTACCTGATGTTCAAAATTAAAAGAAGAAAAAAAGAAAGCTTTCTGATTTATCGGTTAACGAGGCTCAATAAAACAGAAATGTGTCTGTTGTTCTTTTACACTACGGTAATTTTTGGTTCATCGACGAATCAGAAGCAAATATCGGTATTTTCAGCTAAGAGTTCAACTAATTTTGTCGTTTATAAAACAAACTACAATTGTTTTCTGCAAGAACTTAAACCTGAACAAAATTGTTACATGTAAAACAGGAAGAAATTTGATTTATTTGTGCAGTATCAGTCAGTTTGACAAATTTTTTAGGTTGTGAACTTTATGAACAATATCAGTTAGTGTTTGTTGATAATGTTAAGCATAAAAACAGACTAAAAAAATTTTTTGCTTAAAAATTTATAGCGAATATCAATATAAATTTTAAAATGGAACATATAAGTAATTGTAACGTACCTTCCAATACTGATCTTCAATTTTCGCATTATGCCGTTCAGCCCAAATGGCTACGTTGTTCATATAATCTTTGAAATATTTTTGGCATACACCTAAATCCGTATGACCATCTGGACATCCTGAAAACAACGTTTTAACCTTAGTTAACATCGATGGCTTAATTAAGTTGGAATTTGCTTAGAAGATACTTGATATTATCAACTTTTGATAATTTCTGTTTTAGCATTTCTGTGTTTAAATAAAGTTAAAAAATTCGCTTTTTATTGTTTATCTTTAATCGTCTTCAAAAATGCATCGCATTCTTCATATTTTTCTTAACATTTTTTTAATATTATTTTTTTTTGATATCATGATTTTTTGTTAAGGGTGATATCCGGAGTTTCAAAAAGTTGTAAAAAATACAAATTGTATCAAAAGCACAAAAAATATGACAAGAGCATGACGAAAATTGCTTAATTTGATGTAGTAAAGTAAGGGAATGTTTTTTTGGAAAACCGTAACTGATCAATTTTTAGAACTTTTTTTGCCTTACCATGATCAGTCCCTTCTTTTCTTGTCGTGATTCTGCTAGCTTACTTTTGATACAATTAATATGGGTTACAATTTACAAAATTCTTTCTTCAATGCTTAGAGACAACTGGACCTTCAATGTTGAAACAATTACGTTTTTTAGAAAGCTTAAGCAATCAACTGTAAATTGGCCTCCGCTTCCTTCTTCCCTTCCAGAAAACTGGGAATTGGAGTTTTTTTACAACAGTTAAAAGTCGGTACATCATCTTACCAGTAAACAACTTTTGCTTTCTTTTAATAACCTCAGTACCTTTAAAATTAAGCTTCTTATATTTTGGCTTGTTCGGCAATTTCTCAGTGGTCGGTAATGTTGTTTCCGCTGTAGAATAAATAGTTTCTTCGTCTTCTTTGTTCGTTGTTTCAACAGTTGTCGTCGTTGTTGACGAAGTTGTTTCGCTAGTATCGTTGTCAACTGTTACTTTTTCTTCATCTTCCGGTAGTTCAGTTGTAGCAGCTGTTGTTGTTGACACTGTTGTCATCGCTGTTGGTGTCGTTGTTACTTTCTGACCTTCATTTTTGTTGGTAGTAGAAGTAACAGTGGGCAGTGCAGAATCATCGACTAAGCAATTGGTTTTAATATCACATATTTTTTGTCCAAATTGTTTTCGTCCTTTTTTCATTATTGCTTTAACTGATTTTCCACCATTAATCAGAAACTGCACGGTTACACAACCATCCAATGAAACGTCCTGCAAAAAAAACAAAGAAGGAGCCAAATCTTCTTTTTGTCCATAACAGTCATCATCGCTTTATAAACTTTGACATCTTAAAAATTTCTAAAATTATTATGTGAAACGGAAAGTGCTATAGTAAATATTCATTTTTTTTGTCTGTTCTTGCATTCTTTATGATAATTTCTGGAAGTTTTTTTTTTTTTTTTTGAACAGTAACCTATTTAATGGTAGTTTTTCTTTTGATTTGTCAAACATTTATTTGATCAGTGATTACAGTTCCGTACAACTTACCTTATCATCATCAGTATCAATTGGCCTAGACAATTCTAAATGAACAGCTGTTTTGTTTTTCTTGAAGTTTGCGTTATTGAAGACAAAATTCTGTTTTTTATCCTTTTTAGGTGCTTCTTCATCAACTGATAAATAATAGTCATAGGCAGCCACAAAATTTCCATTTTTCAATTCTATTATTGCCAAATCAACAGTCTAAATTAGCGATTTTTCAGTTCATTTTTCACACTCAATAATACTTCTGACTAAAGATGTATGAAATCATAAAGAACTAATAACTGCTCCTCAATTGTCTTTTGTTGATTTTTTTTCCCAATTTTATTTTTTTATTTATTTATTTTTTGCTTAATATATATTAAAATTAATTAATTTTCATTGTTTTTGTCTACCGCAAAACACTTACTTCTTTATCGTCATCATCGTCGGTGATGGTAATTGCTGTATACTGTTTACCATTGATAATCTTCTGATCAATAACAAAAACAACACTGCTCTCATCGTCATCGTAATACCATTTGACTTCATTTTCATCCACTTTTGTCGAACAAACTGAAAGGCTGCCCTTCTGTCGTGCTGATACCGAACCCGAGACTGGAATTGAAAAGGGGAAAAAAACGCTTAGTTTTTTTAAACTGATAAAGAAATAATATTGATCTAAAATGAAGCATTAACAGTAGCATTATTATAAATATAAAAAAAAGTTGTTTTTTATTTTCTCTCAGTTTAAAAGACGTTACTTTTACTAGAATACAAAAAAAAAAGAAACTTGTTCATACGTCGTTCTTTAGCGTCCAGGATACAATTTTCAGTGATGTTACACACTTCAATATATTCTGTTTCACCCAGTAACTTATATTTGCCTTTTTGTGATCGAAAAATACTATCTCCGGATGGAAAGTGAAATTCCTGTAATATGCAGATTACTTCTATCTTAAAAATCACCTAAAAATGTGGCCTAAAATTAAGCAACAATTTGCTGCGCAACTGCATTGTCCTATTGACAGTACAGCGGTATTACTGATCTGTATTAAGTTTATAGCCAAAAGAAAAGCCTTTAAAGATCTAAAAAAATTTTTTTCATGTAATAAAAAATTTGAGAAAAAAAGCAGACAAATAAAAAATTTCAATGTAAGAAATTACAATGCATTGCGAAAGATCCAAATCGTTCTTTTCAACTGCATTAAGTGGTCGCCCAACTTCAACAAAAATTTTATTGCTTTCCAAATCCAAATTCAATCCTTCAATATCCCTTGATGATTCCTTACGAATGGTACCAGACGATGTTACGTAACCGTCAAATACTTCCAATTTTCCACTGGTTAATTCTACACCCAAGAAGTCCATTTTCTGCTTCAAATGAATACCGAATATTTTATGTTATCCAATAATTATGCAAAAAAAAAAAAAAAAA